TACTATATTGCTGACTTGGACATAGTTAACCTTAACAATGTTAGCTTTAAAGCAGCTAGAGTAGTTTGAACATTAATAAAAACTGCAATATGCTACTTATTCTACATTCTTGGGATCATTGCTCAAACCAATTTTCGATAGTGACAGGGAGGTTGCCTACTCATCGCCTTCATTACTGATATGGTCTATTACTATGCCTGAAAAATGCGAGAGCAAAAAAAAAAAAAAAAAAAAAAAAAAAGAAGGAATAACCAGTGGGTAGTTTAAGGTATAGTGCATGCTGGAGGCTCGTCCCTATGAGATTATCGCATCAGTTCACAATGCAGAAGTATGCACATACGGCAATTGCAACGTTGGAGAACCGGAATGCAATGCCCATGTGCTGGAATAAGAGGCCCAATCGAGCTATGCTTTCTCTGTCTTCTGGTCGATCATATCTTCTGAAGTACTACCAATTACTCTCTGCGGCTAGATCTATCTATCCTCGTACGCTTCTGCTCTAATCGATGCTTACCTCACACGACTTCCCCCGACTGCTTATCCCACTTTCCGTTCACAACCATCCTGTCAAAGCTCCATGGACAAGCGTCTGCGACTTTTGAAACTGGGCCAGGCCGTGTTTTCCTAAACCGACACAGGATCCCCAGATACAATCCAATGCCACTACAACTGCATTCCCCCTCCCCTCCTGACTTCCGCAGAAGGAGTATCTCCGTCGCCAATGATGATCCCACTGTTGCGATTTTGTGTATCGACTGGCAATCGACATGAATTGAGCCAGCATCCTATTATGCAGATCAAGTGCCTGACTTTTGCAAAGCCGGGCCCCGAAGTATTTGGAGGTCATAGAGGACAGCCAATGCAACTGGGCTTTTCGAAATATGGTCAGACCGTCTGGCTCTCAGGGTTTTCCAAGACGCAACCCATGAAACACTTAAAGGCATCTTAGAATATTTTAACGTCTGTTAAAGGGTGTATATTAGGTGCACCAAGAAGCCAAATGGCGGCTGGGAATTATTGATATTGATATAAGGCTTCCGATGATAGGGTGAAAAGGAACAGGAAATCTTTAGCTGAAAATTGACAAAATATGTCTCAAAGAATGTGGGCTCCTTCAATTTATCACTAGCTACCTATGGTATGTATGTAGGTACAGTATTATCGTTGCAGTGATGGATGACAGATAAAAAAAAAAGGACCGTGATGAATACATAATATTTGCTAACAACAGAGACATGGCAAAGCCCAAAGGAAATTAAGGGGGATAAGAACATTCTTCCTTGGGGTAGGAGAAGAGAAGTAAAACCACAACAGAGAAGCGAATACAATAGGGAGAAATGCAAGATTGATCATGGGAATATCGAACGGGGAGAGAGACACGGACCACAAATTTAAACAGAACGAAAACGAAAGGGTCATTGGACGCCCAATGCAAACATCACATCGGATATTACTCTGTAAGCTGTTTAGCTAATTCATTCACCACGCCACGGAAAGCGCGACTCTTGTCACCTTCAATGAATTGACTCCCAACTACTGTTTTTAGGTCTACCGGGCGGATATCGCTCCTTCCTAAGAAGAATGGGCTACGGCAGCCGTGAAAAGACCGGAAAAGGATTTTTGATTCCTCAAATTTGAACACTGCAATATATTTTGCGAAAAGGTAGTGATTTAAAAGAGCAGGATGTCCTGCAAGCACCTGTAGAGTGTGCTCGAGCCCGTCGGGGTGTTCCCGGGCAAGGAAAACCCAACGGTGGGAAACGGAATTAGTAGCAGGCGCGTCAACTCGCATAACACGTTGTTCAGAGAGCAATATACCAGCGGTCTCCCAAAATGGAGTATCCTCGATGGTTTCGACGTCCAATTGAGGATTTTGTCTGACGATAGCGGTAATGGTAGACGTCAAACGTCTCATTAACTCGGAGGGCCCGGTTGGTTCATGCGCTTCGTATATGACATGTTTGTTCATTTTGTTCTCGTACGGTCAACCGCCGGGGTTGAATAGTTTTCCCGCGTTGCTTTTTTATATGTTCGATTTCGTACTAGGAGAGATGTGGTTCTTGTTTGGGCGACTTGGAGGATGGAAAGATGGGAATGGAGAAGATGCACGAAACAGAGAATCAATGACTTAATAGTTTAGATTGTTACAGACAATGGAAGGATATATTAAAAAGGTCTCTGATAGAAAATGCGGGAAGAGGGTGTGTTTTTATATCTTTCGTCCTCACGCGGCAAAGCTCAAAGCTTCAGGGCATCATCTGGATACTTCCCTCTGAAAATCCGTTTGTTAATATCAATGAAGGCTTTACCCACCCACCTCTGAGAATAATAAAACATACTATACCCTCACTATTCATTCTTGCACGCCAACTCAGCATCTCTCTATCTCCCGGAGTGGGGGAAGATTCCAGAGGAACCGTTATCGAACATGGAAACGATGATGTGACTCGCCTGCACAAGGATATTATGGCTCTAGACCCCTGTGCTTGGGGGAAGCAAGACTCGCCACCTTGTAAATTGCAGTGATAAGATACCCACATCGTAGTAGGGCTCGGTTCCCTGCTGTAAATGCCTAATCTAATACGGATAATCGCACGACATATGGAATAAAGATGGAAGTTCCCGTTAAGCTTTGTTGGTGTTGACAGGGGAACTAGCCGAAAGAAGAAAAAAAACAAACACCTCCTGCCTTCAGCGAGCTTGAATTCTGGATAACAGGAGCCATTGTTGTCGGGCTTCGCATGGGCAACTTCCGGGAAACTCACGGGATTCGGCATGAGAATATGGAAAATGGTATTAACCCGACTCCCAAATAATAGGGGCAGACAACCTATCAGTCAAGCATCACCGTACGAAGTTAATCCTTCGTTTGTTTAATTAGTACACCACCACGTCCATGGAGTGAGATGCCATCATTTGTGGCCTGAGCGCGAGACAAAGACAGTTTTGTTAGCGCGACTGCGACAAAGAATGGGGACGATAATACAATGCGTACCTAATCACGATGTGGACTGGCTGGCAACAAAATATATAGCATTGTGAAAGCAAAGCGAAGTCTATGCCTCCATCCAGCATTGGGAGGTTTTAGCCGGCTAGATATTCACCCATCGGATATGATCCACCGATGGGTAGTCTCGCCGCAGCAAGGAACCTTACCTAACTACCACGAGTTGCAACTATGATCACGAAACATGAGACTAAAGATCTGATCTTTAAGATCAGAACAGGGGTAAAGAAAAGAAATAGCTCGACAGCTGAATGCAACTTGATTTTCAAACAACATACGCAGGGGGTAGATAGATACACGTGGGGCAAAGGAGAGCAAAGAAAGTACGGAGATGCAGCAGGTGAAATGGGGGAAACGAAAGAGATCATCCATCCATTCCATCCATCCATTCGAAATCCATCAATAGAGAAAAACAACATTAATAGCCCTTAACTTCATATCTCTTTTTCTTCATTTCCTTCATCTTTTCGTGTTATGTTCTTCGGGTCATCGATAGAAAGCAATCCAGAAAATTGGCTTCAAATATATCGTGACCCATAGAAGAAGAAAAAAAGAAATCTAGCCGAGTTCCAGGTTAGGAACAGGTGCACAATTGGCGTAGCGAACCACTCAGGGAAATGATAATAATGGCTGACCCATCTGTTAATTTACAAGCGGGAACCGTGGATGACCTTATAATCAACTACCAACTCGCGGCCACCATCATTGATGACGAGAGCACGAATGCTTCCGCGACCGTCACTGAAGGCATCACTGATGCGGTTAAACAAGTTACCCTGGTCAACAACAGGGAGGCCTTGCTTGACATCACCGGTCTCGGTCATGGCGACGATACGGCCATCCTCACGAATATCCAGAATGCGGTAGGTCTTGTAGACGGGACCGAGCATGCTCTGGACAACAACAGAGGAGGAAGGATGCGAGATGAAGCTAGACTCCTCGTGAAGTTGGCGGGTGAAAAGGTCTACACCGAGGTAGCGGTGTTGGCCAGTCTGGGGAGAGACGGAGATGCGGATGACCTGGCATGGGCGACCCTGCAGGATCAAGAGATCACCAACACGGATGAAATGGCATGGGATAGTGATTGTCTCAGGGGGGTGTCCACCACGCGGCTGAACGACTCTGACAGACTCTCGGACGCCATCACGTACCCGGGTAGGGCCGCGGTCATCAGTGATGACGACCTCCTCCTTCCTGTCATGGTGGTGGTGAGGGTGGAGGATACGGTCGGCTGCACGCTCAACGCCACGGCGGAAAGAGTGGTAATGACCTTCGTCGTCGTAATAACCCATTTTGCGAGGTGATTCTTCGATGACTGTGCGTCGGTCTACGTTGGTTTCGCTGTAAACTCGTTCGCTGCCTCGGGATGCGTAATCGACTTCGCTAACGTGACTGGGGGCTCCGGTGGTATCGATCTGCTCGAACTGGCGATTGTTGGAATAGGGGTCGACGTCACGGAATTGGGTGGGCCGCGGAGCGTATTCTACTTGGAAATTCGGATCTGTGCGTTGACGATACTCACGTTCAGTGATATCGAGCTGTGTTTCCCAGACTTTTCGGTCTTGGTTACCGTAGTATCTGATGCGCTTGATTAGCAAGGTTTTCCTAAGGCTTGTCATTAGAGATGTCTCTTACCGTTCTCTTGAAAGCTCTACTTCGGGATAGCGTGTTCTAGGGTGTTCCTCGTGGGGGCGACGATCAGAGTGGATATGGATGTCAGCTTCTTGATAACTACGAGATGGAAGTTGGCCTTCGTATCCAGTATCTTCCCGTTCGACGCGCGAAGCACCAGTTAAATTGACCTCTCCCTCTACTCTCGTGTGAGTAGTCTCAGAGACAGCGTCACTCCGGTACGACGACGGGAAGACACTGAAGGGGATGGGGACACGGGCGTCAAAGTCCAGATTGACTGTCCTGGAAGCGTCTTTTCTCGAATGCCTTTCGAAGTGTTTAAGAACAATTCGAAAGACGAGACAAGAAAAGACAACTGTCTTTCTGAAAATGTATAAATGGAGAAAGGATAATCAGAGAACTGAATCGTTCTTCTCGATCAGATATGGATCAGAATGGGGTTGGGGAACGGATTGAACTGATGAAATCGGATTTCCCGAGGTTGAGGATGGGGAAAGAAAGGGAAAAGGAAGAAGAGAAAAAGAAGCTGGGGGCGAGCGAAGTTATTTGTTGTTGTTGGCAATGAGGCTGGTTGCCATGCAGCTCATTGGCCTTGCCCCTGCTCTGTCGGCGTCTCGTCGATTTGCTCCCGCAGGTTGTTTTGTTGTTCTGGTGTTTGTTTACATTTCGCTGAATGAGGTTAGGCCATGCATCGGATATCGGTCCAGCATTGACTTTGCCGGGAACCTTCCAAGGATTGCGGTGATGTTGGCGCTGGATCCTGGGCTCGTATTTGACCGCTGCCTTGGCCCTTGTCCAGCTCGTCTTGATTTCCCAGCAAAATATCCACAGCGATGACGAGAGTCTTCTCTCCCCTCCAGCCCTCCAGAAATGGATGAATTCCAATTGTCAATCGATGGAGACTGGTATGCGTGTCTTTTGGTTTTCTCCAATCGATTCCCGTTGCTCGCATACCGCATATTTGCCTCTTGCCCACCTCCATAATTTTTCAGCCATCGTGGAGTATCTCTATTGGGCTGCTTGTTTGCTCGACCCGCCTCCAGGAGCTACTGACAAAATTACAGGGGCTGGCTCACTGGCTAGCTGAACTTTAAGCCAAGCCTGTCATGTAAACAATCCCCAGAAGAAGTCGCTTCTGTCATTGCTCCATGGACGGGCATGGGCATCTCTTCTCAAACTGCTCGAGCTCTTAAAATTTTATGAGCCTTCAGAATTCCTCATGCTTTAACCTCGGATCTCTCGGGCTTGACCATCCAGCGACTGCCACCTGGAGGATGAACCCTGAGAATCAACCTGCAGTTCTTGAGTTCCCCACCAGTTGCTCTGTCAACAGCCCAAAGTCCCGATCCAAGCTCCATTTTCCAAGTTTTGAGACCTTACAGGAAAAAGCAATGAGATCTATTCTGGTGGAGCCCTGATGAGTCCCAGCCCCAGACCCAGCCTTCCCAAGACCAGGTTCCCAGCCACAGGTTGTGAGACGTTCCAAAATGCACCCTCCCTGCTGTTGTCACATCATGATCAATGCGATATGGAGCTGCCGGTAAACTGATCGGAAGGTTCAGAAGAATCAACAGACAGGCCATGAAATCTCTCATCTCAGCCGTAATCACAAGTGACTCACTCAATACATATCGACAAAACGGGTCAAATTCTTTAGATTTCAAAATGGTCGAGCTCGCGAAACAAAGTAAATAGTATCGACTCCATATGGCCAATCCAAATAATTATATATGTGCATTAAATATCATCACCAAAACTTTGGGCCAATCGCCCGCAGACTATTAGTAAATTAACACTCGTCAAGAGCAGTTAGAAATAAGAATGTCAATGTGGTAAATAACAAGATGCATGGGTTTAAGGCTTCCAACCACGCAAAAGATGAGGATGCAGGAGATGAAGTAAGTAGACCAAAAGTAAAGTTCAAGAACCGAGCAAAACCTCTCTATGGGGCAAAAATAAATAAATGATAGATAAATGGTATCATTGAGAACAGAACAAAATGCTCGCGAATAAGTCGTCGCTCGAACTCTCTGATATTTTTCAAACGTGGAGCAGTTCTCCCCATAATATTGTGTTTCCAGAAAACAAAAGATCATACAATTCAGTGGCCATTGAATAAACGTACCCAATGAATCGAGAAGCCGAACAAAAAAAATAGGGTGAAGTAGTTTGTCTGTTAATTATTGTTGTGCGGGTGGTAGTATCCTTTGAAAGACAACTTCGAAGAACGAAATATAAATTTCTAAAAAGGAAGATAAACGAATTGAAGAATAAATGAAAATAACAAAAAGGCAGGTCCGGGGAAGACGTGTTCACAATGAAATTTGTTTGCCCCAAAAAGATAGGAGTAATTGTATATTAAAGAGGAAAAGAATGCGATATTTTGTCAGTAGAAATAAATCGTGAAGTCGTGAACATGGCAACATGGCTGGATCTCGGTTAAGGCTAGCAGCATCAAAAAGTAAAGCAAGGATAAGTTCAGTCTGTTGAACTTATTCCGAACGCTTTTTTGAGAAGCGAAAGCTTCTTCCTATTTTTCTTTTCGTCCAGTCCAAGACCTGCATCCGGCTTTGAGGAACCGGATGAGTCCTCGCTAATGGTACTACTGTTCGTACCGCGTCGATTGTGCAATCGTGGGCGGAAACGAGATGTCCAGTTGGATGACGACCCCGGTGTCGCTAGTAGAGGTGGGCCCGAAATTGAGACGCAGGAGGTGGTGGTGCCGTTATTTGTCGCGATGTTGTTAGCAGTATTTGGACGTTCTGTATCTGATTCTCCTTTTTCAGGAATGGGTGAAATGGGGCTGCCTATGGCAACAGGAGAGTTCGTATGGGAGCTCAAAGGCCATGAACCTGATCCCACTAGTTGGACAGGACCTTTTTCCACAGCGGCCTCTTTTTGAGAATGAGGGTCGTTTGTTTTAGCACCGGATGAAGGTGAATTGCTGCGGCCGTTCCTTGACGATCTTGAACCCCTATTCCGCCAGAGCTCGAAATGGGAGCGTTCAAGCGGGCTATCACGTCTCGCAGCGCTATCCAGCTCGGACTTTCGGATTTTCGTATCATCACTACCCCTATATTTTGAGCGACCAAGCCTGCTAAAAATACTTCCTTGCCTCTTAGGAAGTTGGGGGAAAAACGCTCCAGGTTCATTTGGAATGACACTGGTGGGTTCATCAGTGGCATCTGTAGCTCTGGTGCCATTTGTTATAGTGTCAAGGCTAGGGACCGGTTTCGGCTGGCCCATGCTTGGTATGATAGACAGGCGGCGAGGGTCAGGACGCCTTAGCACTCTTTTTGGTATTTCTTCGTCGGAGCTATCCTCGAGATCTGTAGAATCCCCGTCAACACCATCCTTTCGTTTGGGGATACCGCGAACAGGACTGAAGCTCATGGGAACTACATCATCGTCACTCGAATCTTCATAGCGGCTACGGAAAGGAGGAGAAAACCCGACGTCATCATCATTACTGTGTGAAAACGAAAATTTGGATTTAGCTCCTGTGTTCAACCCAGATGGAGCTCTCTTGGGTTTCGACGACCTTCCAAAGTTGGCAAATGAAGATTTGGTGTCCAATCCGCCTTTTAGCCCGCGTAGCGTCGTCCGAATTGGCAAGTTGTGATCTGAAGAAAACGGTCTCTGCTGGCTGGTGGGCAAAGTTGAACGACCACCAATGCCGATAGAATACCCACCAGAGGAATATGGCCGGGCGTCAGAGGGACCCCTCAGCGTGCGTTTCAAGGTATAACGTGTGGCACCCCGTGGTGAACGTCTGACACGCTTGAAGCTGCTTGAAGAATCGCTATCATATGCCGTAGATTGCGCGAGGCCTTTTGAAGCGAATCCGAAATCCGATCCAGGCGCAGCACCTGAAGTAGAATGGCCATTTTCAATTGGATTTTTCGTGGAAAATGAGTCATTTCCTTTTTGTGAAGTGAGTCCTTTATCATGGGAGCTTGCCTTATCACCTGGAGTTCGCTTGGAGGGCTTGCTTGACCGTGGTTTCTTTTGCTTGGCAGCATTGTGGTTATTTGCCACCGACCTATAAGTTTGTTGCCCATTTGGCGCAACATTACCGGAGTCCGTTGGGCTAGCTTCAGCTGATGCGACCGCCGCACCGCTTAAACTTGTGGAGGTCAGTTCATGTAGGCCGGACTTTGGGTGGAGCTGCTGATTTGTGATGTTGTGCAAGCTTCCACCATCCTCTGTATTCCCATTCTTGTTGCTCGACACTGTCGAAGTCGAAACCCTTTCCTCAACAACAGGTAAAGGAGTGCTTGTATAAACTGACCCCAGTGGCGAAGAAGTTCGAGGCTCATTGAAACGCAATGAAATATCGGATGACCACTTTTTATCAACTTTGGAGTTTGTTGGGCTGTCCGGGGGAGGTGTATGGGAATAGCTAGAAACGTGAGAGACAGGGCTGTCAACTATCGCGTTTATAGAACCAAAACCATCACCTTCAAGATCTGATAAATTTTCAGCTGCATCACTGTAAACACTTTCACTTGAATCGGATTCATCACCATCCACGTATGGAATCGAAGAGATCCTTGCATCGGAGGTGGAATCAGGGATTACTGGTCCTGGTTGGCGTGTATTATCAATGTTTTGGCGCATTTCGTGTTCTGGAAGAACCATTGGAGATGGAAACCATCCTGGCATCCTGGCCCACTCTCCACTAATATTTTCCTCCGCAAGAGCAGGAGTAGCTGGATGAATTGAGATAATAGGTATATTTTCACTCTGCCATCGCTCTCTAACAGCTTTTCCCCCAACATCAAGGCTCTCGCTCGAGGCTTTTTGTACCTCCGATGGAGGGGAGCTAGTAATATCTCCCGGATGGGCATAATCGTCCGGATCCTCCAAGTCCTCGCTGGATGAACTCGTTTCAGATGGGGAATCGTAACCAGTCCCTTCAACTGACGTGACTTCTGGGGGGATCGGGTTACCAGGGACGAAGGGGTTGGTATCTTGGGGCCGGGAATGCTTGCTCTGGTGTAATATTTCGCCGAATGCATTGCCACTAGCTGATGTCCTCGGTGACGAAGGTTTGTCGTGAACCTGCCGCCTATCATGATCCTCGATCAACCATCTCCTTCCACGAATACTGCCAAAAGAAGGAAGTGCCGGACGAGGTTTCATGACTTCGTTGAACGCATCCTCATCATTCCCATTCCTGGTGTTAAATCGGTAGCCATTCCTTGCAAGACTTGAATTCTTTGATCCTGAACCCCATAGAGGGCTTGAGGAAATGGGTGACCCCGGCCCTTGAGAAATTGAAGCAGTGGCAGAAGCCCCTACTACCTCCGGCTCATCTTCGAAGCTCACCTTAGGGGTGCGTTTTTTGTTCCCATCCCTTTGGCCATCATCTGATTCAACCGATGTGCCATCAGGAGATTCACTCTGTGCTTGAAGCGATTTAGACCAGTTATTCGAATTGTGATTGCCTAGGCTAGATTGAGGAGTTGGGTGTTTTAAGGCTGATTTCGCAGGAGACATTGACCGTGGAGGAGGGTCATGAAGTCTTTCGCCGCTAAGGGAAACAGCAAGATGGCTAGAAAAGTGTGTGGTACGAGTCGGGCTGATTGAATGAGGTCTTTCGTTATTTCTACCTTCGGTGCTAGCACTGACTGTGTCGTGCGCGTGGCCAATGGATAGAGCCTCTAAAGGAGTATGTGAAGTAGAGCCAAAATCTGTAGATGGCAGGGTATCGACTGTAAAGCCAGTTGGCATAGATGTTTTATCGTTTTCGACATCTGCTTTAGGATTATCTGAGTATTTAAATTCGGGTAAACTCCCCGAGTCAGTGGATTGGTCGGTTTGATTAGTTTTGGGATCATGTACTTCTGATGGATCCGTTATCTGTTGTTCCTTGGTTTCAGCTTCTCGGTTACCATATTGTTGAACGGTTCGCGCTTTCGTTTGGCTTGATTTGGGGGAAGGATGACGGTCCTGCTCGGTGTCTTCCCCGTGTACAGTGGAGGGCATATGATGGGAGTGTGCAGGGTCTTGCTCTTCAGGAGAAGTGCTTGCCTCGGTTTCAGTGATTGCATGAGCAGCTCCAATCCTGGACCTCTTCGATTCGTCATGTTCTGTATGAAAAGCACTCAAATCTGGATATGACTGGGCTTCCTTGACAGCTGCAGTTATAGGAGTCGTCGTAGATTTGGATGATCGAGCAACAATATGGTTTTGAGAAAGTTCTTCATCCGGGCCCATTCCATCATCATCAGAAACTAGAGGTTTCGCGGCAAGCTTTTGAATTGGAGATTGGGGTGGGGAATTTGGACGAGCGTGTGTGGGGTAGGAAAAGTTGATCGAGCTCCGGCTGTCCTGCCTTTCCAGCTCTGGAAGACTACTCAAAACTCGAGGGGAGCGAGGGGAACTGGGCTTTCGTAGATCAGGTGATCGACTTGAACGCGCGCGAGAGGACGACTCCAGGCTAACGGCTCGCTGATGGGCAAGAAAGCTCTGGGGAATCGGAGGGACAGGGCTAATATCTCTCTCACTAGAGCCAGCTATTGAAGCCGGATGAGCTAGGGGCTGATCTCGAAAAGTCCTCGAGCTCATCGAACCGGAGCTACTCCTCCTATATAAGCGACCATTTTGAGTGAGAGGTTGAGCCACATCTTCCTTAGCACTGCCGATAGACAATTGCCTCCGCAGCATACGTTTTGTCTGGACGTTCTCGACGGAGGTGGGGGTAGGTGTATGTGTGCGAAGGGCTGCTGCCGCTGCGGCTGTAGATAATGCGGCATTGGCTTGGGACGCTCTGAAGGCTTGAGCAGCAGCGGTCTGGGCAGATGGTGACGGATTGGAATTTAAGGGCTAAAAGACAATTCGGCACTTGCATCAGTAACAGGGTAACAGGTCTGCAGGGGAAAAGGGTATAGGAGGGGTGGCCCAGAGATCGTGGACTGGTAGGACGAGTTCCAGAGCTGTTAGGGTAACTCACCGCATGTGCAGAGGATCTTTTGCGACGGAACATAGCGAAAGGTTCACTCGCCAGGAAAGGATATCACCCATGGGAAACGAAAGCTCGCAACAAGGAGGCAATTGATACCGTAAATAATTACAACCAAAGATTGCTTGAAGTAAATAGATGCCCGAGAGAGTCGTTTTTCTGCGTCGACTTGCGAAAACTGCATTGAGGATTAATCTCGAAGTTGCTGAAAAATCAATACGAGCTATTGTAAGTCTTGAAGCATCGTTGCGTGTCACGATTCACCACTCAACAGGGAATAAGTTGACTGCACCGGGCAGCAACAAGGAGGTATACGACGCGATGGATTGGGGGAGCAGATGATTCTGCTGGTTTGAAGCAGGAGATGGTGTGAAGGTGTGTTGTCCATGCCTGGCAGAGCAAAAAACGGGCGGAGGTTGTTGGTCTGGTCGCATCCGGCTAGGATTGGCATGACATCAACGGCCTCCAGATGAGAAAGATCCATTTTCATTCATCCACCCCAGCCTTATGGGTTTGTTTGGGGTTGCGGAGGGAGGCACTACTAAGGTATCTAGTTTCCTTCAAGCCAAAACTCATACGGCTTTCTTTCCCCACCGGTCTTACAGAGAGGAAACTCTTCACGAAATATAGCCACGACGGTTAACTGCCAAGTCACCTGATATCCATGAATAATAGAAATAACCTTTACGAGATATCCCGCCAGCAGCACAGTCCGCCAAAAATTAAAGGGAGGGGTCAGGACTATTGATCTCATTTGGTTCCTGGGACATTCAAACAACCAGAGCGCCGTTGAGAGAACCGAATTTTTCCAGGTTGTTTCCCAACTCCTTGACAAGTGTCATGTTCAAACGATCAATTGCAGGGGTCCAAAACAGGTTTCTCGCCTCCCCAAAACCCCCGTCACCATTGACACTGCCGCACGACTCCGGCCCCGACCAGTAACCCAGAGGATGGAAGCTAGGATGCTTGATGTTGAATGGAGTGCTCCGTTGAGCGCGCCACTTATAATAATAAACCGATCCTTTCTCCACAAGAGATGTTTCCTTCTTTGAGCTAGTGGAAAAGTTCTCAGTATGATGCTGGAGGAGGCGTGTACTGTGTAGTTAACTAATCCGTTGAACAAGTCAGCTAAGCATGGTAAAGTCAGCACCAACCTGCCAGGATATTGCCTGGCAGATAGTAGGTTTCAATTATCAATCTCTTTACGTCCGCGTATAGGTCAGTGAGCAGTCGCTGAAGCAGAATTCCATATATAATAGAGATTTATGAAAATTTTACAGATATGCAAAGCGATAGAGATACCTATATTCTAGATATCCAAAGGGAAATCTATGTTATAGAGGTCCAACAGAAAGCCCCGCATTATAGCCCTCACAAATATATTTATTGTAGAGATGTGAATTAAGATCTCGAAGATAGGAAGGTAGATAGATAAGGCAAATCTTTCTACTTCATATATCTTGGTCTGTCAACTTGGAGAAAAGCTTTCAACATCACTCATCTTCAATTCATATATGTATCTATGTTATCTGTCACGGTCGACCCCTGGAAGAAGCCAGCCGATGGTCATTTTGGCCTACGGTTTTCTACCTTGCTACTGCCTGGCCAGTGATGGGCCGTAAGCTATCCAATTGCAGTAGGTATAAAAAGCCATAAAAAAGAAATGCAATGTCATTGGCTTTATATTTATTAATAAGAAGTAATAGGAAGGTTATAAAAAGGGGTTGCAGACATAAAGGCTAAGAGATAAAGAAGAGATTGCACAACCGTCAGGCTTTGGCGTACTAGTATTTACATTTCACATCGTCCATGGGATTTCAAAAATTACTGTATATATGTGAACATCCCGCCGTGGTCCTGGGTCCAGCGGCCCATCTGAAGCTTAATAATTAACTTATTGAAACCGGACCGAGATTGTATCTTCCGAGGCTCTATCACCTGCCCGCTTTTGTTTGATCTGGTAATATTTACCGGATAACGATGGGAGCCAAAGATTATCTTCAATATAGTGGGCAATCCCTCGGGCGCCAAACATACAACAATACACGTTGTTTGGATTCGTTTGTATGTGGATCTCAGAGAGATTGCGATGTCGGCTCCATTGCTCTCTCCGTTGCCCCTGCCGCAGGGGGTCTCTTCGAGACAGATTGATTCCCGCCCGAACGGCCTCTCGTTCCATATCATCGAAGCGGGTTATACTGCTGACAGAGAACGGCCCTTAATAGTGCTTCTACACGGCTTTCCAGAGCTCGCATTTTCATGGCGGAAAGTGATGCCGTTGCTCGCCAGCCAGGGCTACTACATCGTTGCTCCCGATCAACGTGGTTATGGCCGTACAACAGGCTGGGATAACCGAGATTTCGCAAATGTTGACTTGAACGAATTTTCAATGACAAACCTGGTCCGCGATGTTATTGTCCTTGTTCACGCCCTAGGGTATCGAGACGTCAAGTGCTTGGTGGGCCACGACTTTGGCGCAGTAGCGGCTGCGTTCTGCGCTTTGGCTAGACCTGATTTTTTCAAAAGCGTTGTTTTGATGGGCCATCCGTTCAAAAAGGTCCCAAGTCTACCAACTCTCAATACTATTACTGCGCAAGCCATAGGAACACCCGAGAGCGGACTGCCACCCGCTGCTTCAAACACTAGTATCCATACGGATCTCGCATCGCTGGGTCGTAAGCATTACAAATGGTACTATTCAACCCAACCAGTAAGCTCAGAAATGACAAACCCACCCAATGGACTCCACGAGTTCCTCAGGGGATATTTTCATCTTAAAGGCGCCTCTTGGTCGAAGAATACTCCCCACCCACTCGCATCTTGGACTGCTTCCGAACTCACAAAACTTCCATATTACTACGTCATGCCGCTAAACGCTACTATGCCAGAGGCAATAGCAGCAGACATGGCGCAGGAGGATCCTTCTGCCATCCAGGATTCCCAATCCTGGCTGCCAGACAGCGACCTTGAAGTTTACGTATCGGAATTCCGTCGGAACAGTTTCCAGGGAGCGCTTAACTGGTACCGGGTGTTCACTAACTCAGATCCCACGGCGGCCTGCAAACGCGATATTGACATCTTCGCTGGGAAGCGGATGGAATGCCCCATGGCATATATATCCGGCAGTCAGGACTGGGGAACGTATCAAGTGCCTGGTGCTCTGGAGGCGATGGTGACCAAGGAGGTTTGCGCTGATTTTCGCGGTTTGAAGTTTGTAGATGGTGCGGGACACTGGGTCCAACAGGAGAAGCCAGAGCAGGTGACCAGTGGCATCTTGGAGCTGATACGCTCCTTGGAGTGATCGCTTAACAATGCTTGACCCAAGGGACGTCTCTAGAGCGGCTATGCATGTCGTGGTGGTAGTGGATGATGATGCTGGATGTGTCATCTAATGTACAGTACCTCACGTAGTCATCATGGTTGCAACCACCCAAATCGAGCTTACTAGTATCATATCGCATTTTTTGCTAAATGTGTGTTTTAAATGGAGTTCAATATTCCCCTCATCGTGCAAATTCGAATAGGATAACCTATTTGAGCCAGTCCCTGTCTATACAGTGAATGAGGTGAATCATATTAAGTACATGTACATTACTACGACCCTCTCTACCACACCAAGTATGTTACCTACTTTATTTATTAAACCAATCTAATATCCACTGATACTATTTCCTAATGCTCCTGACAAATAGTCCAGTAAAGGAAACGAAGAGAGAAGCAAAAGATATCTTTTGAGCGCCCCATGTATGTTCTTGCGAAACCGCACCACTTACCCATGCACTGTCACTATTTCCAGCCCCTTTCATCGCTCAGAACAAAATGCGTGGCCATTTAATCCAATATCAAACCGTTTTCACATCATAGTAGACCTCCTATTACAATCATATCGAAGATTTCGCACGGATTGATAAAGCGATGTGCAACACCCGTGTTTCAAACTTTTTTTCATGGATGTGGATGGATAGAGAGTCGATCCGACGCTCCTTGTCCGACAAGGACAGTCATAAAAAAACAATGATAGAAAATAGTAGTTAGATATCGTCATGAATCGAGTCGTGTAAATTGCGGTGCTTTGTAAAATGGTATAGCTTAAATCACTTGTAGCGAGTACAGACGCAGACAGCAAATGCAAAGGCTCCATCGCCACAAACAACGACGTCCTTCAACCTGCAGAGCAAAACATTAACATAAAAAAGCGGAGAAGGGAAAAAGAAAAAGGAAGCAGAACGTTGTTAAGCTTCTGAGGAAAACAACCGAGCCGAGAACCAGAACGCAGAGCAACGAGTCTGGGCAGCTTTGAGTGTCGAAATAGAAAATTGGTATACAGACCCCAATTCACCCTAGCGAAAGGTCCAACCAAATTTGACGGAAAAAAAAGCCAAAAAAGAAAGGAGTGGTTTGAGTGCGACAAAGAATAAAATGAAAAGAAGAAGTATGAATGTAGCCCCAGTTTCAAAATCAAACGCCTACCAAAGATACGCTTTGCGGAAGGATTATAAAAGGAATCAAAGGGAGATAGAAATTTTTGCTTTGAAGCAATAGATATCGAGACGGGAATGGAAAAAAATGCTGCGACTAAATTAAACAAAATTCGGGCGACATTAGCCCGTTCATTTCAATTTCTGGCTTTTATTTTATTTTATTTTTTATACTATTCTCATTCCCCTTTTCGGCTTAAAATAGGAGGCCAAAAGAGCCGACCAGCAGCATTGGAACAAGAGCATAGGTCAGTTGCGATGATGAGACGGTCGAGGAAGCGGCATTCTGGACATCCATCGCGAATAGGTATCTGGCTGATAAGTGGGTGGAGTTGAAGCAGTTTTCCTTGGTCACCTCTGGGACATCTTCAGGTTCTGCTAGGGTGATATCGACGCACTACAAAGGTGGATTTTGGTTAATGCAGGGAAGACAAGGAGAGAAACGAAGTGAGGTTTGTTTTGTAACATTGCGCATAACGATAGTGAGATAGGCAAGGAAAGGGAAAGGGGCCGGGAGAAATTTACATTATAAAGAGCAGCACCGTGCTGAGCAATTTCGACGAGCTGTATCGTTGCATCATCGCCGACTTTCAGGTTTGCATTCAGCGGCAACGGAATTTGTGGAAGGCAGAACGTGCCTGGATATTCTTCGTTCGTAGGTGAAACTATTTGGAATGGGGCGATCATTGGATGGCTCATATTTGGAGGAATAGTCCCATAACCCATATTTATGTAGATAAATGCCGTTTTATGCCCGGCAAACCAGCCAGGTTGGAAGGAAACTGCGCCTCCTTTAATTGGCCATTTCGTTCGATTATTGGACATTGGCATTCCACCGCCTAAACAAGTTTGATATCACCCATTAGCTCAGGAGGGATCAAAAGCATGAAGAGTTTCGATAGAGCATTGCGTTGAAGAAGAATGGGTTGGATACGTACATGGATACGCCCATTGCATTCCAGCTGGATATAGCAGTTCCGATGCATTCGCCCCTCTACCGATACCCAAACCATCTGTCTCCGTCATATTGCCGGTGGAATGAAGGTTATTGCCTCTCCATCCAGGATAGACGATAACGGAGTGGGCTGTGACAGACGAGGTGAACAGGGTAATGAGGAGTATTGCCAACCAGGGCTTTAATGACGGATTATGGCGCATGATGCGTTGAGATATATATGTGCAGAGGATGGAGGAGTTGTATGTGGATAAGTGTGTCCCTTCGGTCAAGGGTAAACCCTCGCGACTCAATTGTCGAACAAATTCAATCGGTTGATTTCAGGCGATGTTTTGTAAGCTTATTCCTTATTCCATTTCACGGACTATCTGGTTTATCGATATAGCTGTCCGGTTCAGTCTCCCTGTAAGGTATGAGAAGACGATAACAGCCAACGACAACACCAAGAGTTTTTAATGGTGAACGATGATGTGAGAAGGAGAGAAATAGTAGCTGAGAGCACTGGCACAATCGGTATAAATGTCTTGGTGGGTGGTAGAGCCCTTAAGAGGGGAAAAGTGAGAGGATGCAGGGTTATAGATTCCCAACCCAACACACCCTTGGCAGGGCATCTGATGGGCTCAAGAATCGCCATCAACAAAGAAGGAAATAAACGATAAAAAGGGTGACAGCCCATGGGTCAGTTCTCCTCCCCTCCATCCTACGAGCCAATCAAGCTGGAGATGCACCCAAAGCCATTGTGCAGCCCATCTCAGGACTCAATGGACGATGCACGATTCGCAACATCACAGAATGCAACAATGTAGCCTGTGACTGGGCGGGGAAGGATATGCCCAGATTTTGCTGGTGGAAGGTCGCTGCATGAGGTGCAGCAAGCGGCCTTGATCCGGCCACTAAAACTGCACGACGGGGGATCGCAGGTGAGGCTAAGGAAGCCTTAGCAGCACATCGAAGGACTGTATCACATAGTCCACGAATCAGCGACCAGATCTCGTGCTTGAAGAAACGTGAAGTGCACATTGAGTGGCCCAGCTTAAGGTGGCTGGATGTGAAGAACCAACCACTCTTGCATACCGATCCCGGCTCGGTTGGTGCTTTCTATTCGCCCAAGACTCTTTTTTCACCTAAGCGCCCGGAGATTCAGCAGTGATCGCCGGGCCATGGACAGGAAAATGTGTGTTTAGCGCTCGCAAGCTCACAAACGGAATTCCGAGGAGAGGGCTTTTGATGATGATTGAAGATATCGCATTCTTGCCGAAAGAAAGACTTCCATGACAGAATAACTTGGACGACAGCAAGGGTTAGGAACCCAGCACATCCACGGAGCATTTTCAGTTGTTAGTTATGGACCATCCATGCTGGCCGACATTGTCGACGGCGCGAAAAGATCTGTCATTTCTTTGGCCAAATGTCCCAGCGGACGCTGCCAAAAGAGTCGCCGACAAAAGAGGCGTAAGATGGAATGGGCGCTGCCGAACACTTCGCGTCAACGCAAAAATGACTTTCGAAGAGCACTGGGCTAGATCTCAGGTCAAAGTATTGTCTCTGGAAAACCAGTGGTCGAACTGAGAACATAGAGCTGATCAGATAATATTCTAAAGGTTGGTCAACTAAAATAAAAATGGGTTTCAAAGTTGTAGCTTCAGACAGTCCCTGGGGCTAAGAGTATCTCTATGTTGAAAATGAATATCTACGAGGCCTCAAGCATCAAACAGAACGAAATTCCTGCGCTTATGGCAGAATTATGGGGGCTCGACACCTAACTTGACACCCAAACTTCAGGCACCAGGCCTTGAACTCACCCCATATAATTCTAGCGCGTGTAAATGTTAAATTGTTCTTGTTGTTTAAAGAATCTAGGACTATAAACTGCCATCAAATTAGCGGCTGTCGCCAATTGACATCCGAGAGCGTTGGTTATGACTAATATGTGACTAATCCAATATAGTGTGGCAGATTGTAGTTGAATATCTCCCCAAATTGGAGAGTCCAAGCAAGCGAGGACTTCCAGGAAGCACAACATACCCTACTGGCTAGGGACTCAGTCGTTTATGATCATGGCCCAATCCGCTTGTCGCAGGAAAGGAAAATACCGCCAGCCAAAGCGAGTGCAAGTCCATGATGAAGAAGGCTGGACTCATATCACGACTACCCAACGAACGACATCAAACAAGCTCTGCCTACCTCCCATCAAAGACCTATTAGTTCCAGCCGAACCCCCTGATGGTTTGACTTTCAAGAAACTGAAGAAGCAGTTTCAATGGCACAAAAGATGTTGGGAGGGGTCACAGAGCTGGCAGGCTATCAAGGCGGCCTTAGACAATGGTCTTTTAGCCGGCGCTGCTAGCAGAATCGACAACTGCGTCTGCGTTGGTTTGGGGAGCCCCAGTGGATTCCTAAGAGGCGGGTGGGTTGACCGCAGGGCTGTATCCCTATACCAACTTGCGGCATTAGTGACAATGCTAGAATATTTTGGTGCGTTTTGGAAGAGTGTACATCAACGTTGCCAGGGCCTTGGATGATTATGAATTTTGGAGCTTCTCGAGAGAATCACGAGCTAACGAAAGGATACGTCTGACGGCCCGCGTAGCCAACGAAAATATTCTATTGACTTCCGTCAAAGACTGCTCTGCCCAGGATCCCGTTTTCAACACACTGGATAAACAGCTGCTCGAATCTACTGGCATCCGCGTCGTCGAGCACCCCGCGGCCTTTACTCTAATAAACGATCGCACATTCCTATACTCACCCGGTGCGGAAAGAGTTCACCTTCTAGATATGCTGGCGTCGAACCCTACCCTTTTTTTTGGTGGCCCGCTGGACGATGGGACCTTAGTTGGACTGTACGATATCGAACTATTTTTTTTTTTTTTGTTACACTTGTTCGCTTCAATAAAACTGACACGAAATTGGACTCAGGCCCGATGACAATAAAGGAGTCCTGTCAGGATTCCTGGGTACGAGACGGTCAATGTCACTTCCGCCCTTCGACCCGAATATAAACGCTTTTTGGAAATCAAGCTTGTTTTGGAGACCCGGGGACACCTGATGCGTTATTTTTGCACATCAACTTACAAAATCTATATCACCACAACAGGGAGCCGAAAGAGTTCGTTGGTAATGCAATTGACAAAGGGGGTCAACCCGGATGTGTAGCGACGATCTAGCTACAAATAACCTGTTCGGCTGAATTTTCTTTAAATACATTAAAAATATGAATTGACATATGTGCTGCATCACCTCACCAGAACACCCCCGAGCCGTTGGAGATAGCTCAACCTAATGAAGGTGAAAATGAAGACCCAAACTCTCTCAGCTGATGTCCTTGCTCCATACCAACGTGCCGAAGAAGTCCGCTACTTCCAACAATGCAACCTACATATGGCTATCAGCAAAGAACCTGAAAAAGCACTACAATAATCGATATATCCACGCGTGGCAGGAAAAGAGCATGAACCTACCTTGGTGATTTCATCGCCTGAATATTCGCCGAGAGGACGACTCCCAACTCCATCCTGAGCGACGACGGTATCATAACCAAGCTCGGCAGCTCGTCTAGCTGTGGTAGATACGCAGACGTGTGCCTGGGGGTTGCGTGGTGATGCAAGTTAGTGCTCAAGTGGACAAATCGATATTTTCAAGGTATTGGCTTCCGAAAGGGGAGATCATGTATCAGTCCAACCCACCATATACCCCACTAGCACGATTTTTTTAGCACCCAGGCTTTGCAAGTATTCGTGAAGGGCTGTCTCCGCAAAGGCGTTGGGAAATTTTTTGGTGATAACCTATTCATAGACATCGAAATGTCAGCGCCATCAGACACTGCCGCCTCTCCGACTTGCGATGTCGAACGTGAAACATTCCCAGCAAAAAATGTGTCAGATCGAGATGGATACAAACCTTCTCGCCTTCCCAGGGCTTTAGCTCATCAAATTCGTCCGCCAATGGCGTGCCGGTAGTAAATATAGGCGCATCAGCGGCGGTCTGATGGACAATATGAACAAGGTTCTGTTTGCCTGTGGTCTTGACCGTGGCACGGTATTTTTCGAGGAGCGATTTAATAACCACGCGGCGTTTGTCGACATTGTCGACTTTCAAAAGTCCGTTCGCGTATCTATAATTTTATTTCAGGATAACAGGAAGTCAGATATGGTTTCACATAGGACGATGCATATATGTAATTTCTATTATTTCCGCTTCTTTTTTTGGAATAATAGAAAGGGGAGAGAGAAAAGAAAAGAAAAAAGAATGAGAAGAGAAGTGTTCAGAACAGGGTATCATACTCGTTTTGCGAATCGATGATGATCAGGACACTATCGGTGGTCGAGGCAGTCAATGGCGGAATGCCCGCCATGTCTCTAAACAAGGCCATCCTGTTTGTGTTGGAGTAATGATGATCCTATGTTTCCTTCCAATCCGCGTAGCAGGTTTCTAAGAAAACGGAAAATATTTTAATGCCAATTCTGTCCATTCCAAGGGTGAAAAACAGGATGGAAGCAACAGTCTCCCTCTTAAATACCCATTCCAAGAGAACATCGGTTCGCCAAGGCTCATTGTCCCGCACATACATAGGGTCTCTCGGAAGCTATTTTGCTTGACGTAAGGTCAATGTAATCATTATGCAGTGGGCTAACCCGATTAGAAAATAATAGCACATCTAGGCCCTTCGTGCGTCATCATCATGAGATGATTTATGTACTAGTAGTATATATATAGTCATGGACGCGGGGGTAGTGGAGGCGGAAGGGAAAGGAAGGATGAATTAGGGGGGATACTCAATGGTATGGGCTCTATCGAAAACAATAAAAAAAATTATCCCGGGGTGAAATGGCAGAAGGCATCATAAACGTAAATAAGATAGAAGTTATTTCTTTTAATTATAAAATTGCTCTTAGGTACAACATCTATTGGATGGATATTAAATAAGAACACGATAATACCCAACTGTTCTAACAAAAACCCATATCCAAAGCCAAACGGTAGGAAATTCTCTAGTTATCTGTTCTTCGCCGATTTCCCCTGATTTCCTCTTCATTCGTATAACGCGAGATACTAGGTATTCCTCCAATCAAAACTGGTGTTGGCCAAAAATAACAAAAAAGAAAAGAGAAGAGAAGAGAAGAAAAGAGGAAAAGAAAAGAAAACCAAAAATAAAACAAAGGGAGAGAAATGAAAGAGGATAGGAAGCAAAAAATGTAACAAATCCAGCACATCTAAGACAAAAACAGACCAATACTGATGATGTAAGGTAAGACTATGGTCAGCAGTGCGGAGGAATACAAGATGAGCTATAAAGATACAAGTAAGCAGCCACAAACATACACCACCCTGTAGCAAAAGGAAGGAAGAAATAAATGCCGTGGTTTTGGCTTGGGAGAATGAAGAATAGAATAGAGAACAAAATGGTACAAAAGCTATTGAAAAATGGCTATACAATAAACAAAAAGGATGCTGAGGGCTAGAGAGAGAGGCTTTAGAGAATATGGAGTGGGGTGGGTAAGATGTGGGAGGGGGGTTGATCTTCATGATACAACAGATTCTGAATAACGCGCAATATCGCATGCCCAGCTGGAAGAGGAAGAAAAAGAGGAGAGGAAGAAAACCATATGTGCAGCTGTAAAGGGGGATGGGAGAAAAAGGATAGAGGGATCTGCACATTTGGGTTGCGGACGTAAAAGTTTTGGTGGCTTCGTTTCCCGAGTTCATTTATTCAATAACAAGGATGAAAAAGAGAATAAATAATAAAAAAGAAAGAACGCAATTCCCTATGAGAGAGATATACGAATATATTAAATCAAGAAAAAAAATGGAACGAAAAAGGAAGGACGATAGTTCGTTTCCACTTCCCTTCTTCCAGATTTTAAGTAGCGGTCTTACCGCCGCAATCGGGGATTTTCAAGCCCGACTTCAAGGCGCGGTCAGGACCCATGAGACCCCACTTATCTTCCCATTCCTTATTTAGTTCGGGTTCGTTAAATACACTTTTCCAGGGCTCATCGAAAGCTTCGAACCTGTTTTCATGTTGAATCGTTAGAACGTACGATTGTTCGGGGATGTGTTTGTAAAGCTGAGGCCCCTGTGCGGAAGCGAAATACAGGTAAGGAGGAAGACATGAGGGATAACCGGGATAGACAGTGAAGATGAAAGGAAAAGAAGAAAACAATAAAAAAAAAAGTAAACTTACCAAAAATAATCCGTCCCATTCGACAGGCTCTGGCACACCCAATCCGCCATGAACTGGTTTAACTCAGTAATTCCGGCAATGGAACCAGCAGTTTTACTAGGACACGGATTGGGATTACAGTTGTTGCCTCCGCCGCTAGGCCAGCCAACTTCAGAAATTATTTGCGGAGTATTGGTGCCTTTCGTCAGGGGCACGTTGTGACCCTGCCAGAACGTCCATGTCCAACTGGCCGCGTCCTTGACCGGCACACCCGCGAAGAACGGGTGCACATTCGCCATAACGGCATCGGCTACCCTAGCTAGTTCAGGGGTCCAGTCATCGCCCAGATCAGAGGTGGCAACAGGCATATCAGCACCCATAGCCTTGAGCTGGGACTTGACTTCCTGCATGTATTTTGACAGTGTGGCGATCGTGGTAGCAGCTGGTTCGCTGTTTTTGGCGCGAAAAAGAACTTCGTTGCCGACGATAACCCCCTTGAAGATGGATTTGTCTTTTGCTTCTCTGACAATCTTGTATAGCTGCTTGATCTGGCGCTCGTTGGTGGTGGTGTTTGTATCAATCCAAACGCCAAGCCAAAGCTTCATATCTTTCAGTTCCAGCCGGTCAATCGCATGTAAAACCATCTCTGTCTGGTTGCAGTCAGTACCGTAAAGGCGAACCGTGTTCGTTAACTGAGAGAGAACGGCCATGTCGCGAGTAACGTTATTTTGACTAGGAGGGTACTTGAGGCATAACGGGTATTGCGTGCCCCAGGGGGTATAGTCCATCCCTGGGAAAACTTTGTGCAAGCCCTCCATTGCCATCAGCTTCTTGATCTCCGCTGACCCTATCCCAAGGTCCCCGTTTGCTTGTCTATCGTCCTCAGCTGACTGTCCAGCGCCGCCGCTGCCTGAGTTACTCTTTCGAGAACCCAAAATGCCACCGACGATACCACCGGCGATACCACCGATCAATATTAGGGCGATTATAACAGTCACAATCCATTTCATCTTTTTCTTCCCATGCTTTTGGTTATTTAGCCATTCACTCTTCTCAACAGTGACAGCGTTGAAATTGGGTTTTCCACCACCACCATCTGTACGTCCCGAAATGTTTCCCAGCATTCCCCCGCCAACAGCAGCTGCACCTGTAGCAGGAAGGCTGTTGTTACTAGAGTTTTTCCCAAGGCTTAGCATTGATCGTCTCTTGGGCTCTGGCATGAAACCATCGTCTCCGTCATCGATGATATCATTAGGGTTAATAATCTCGGGATTCACAGGTCCCCACGAGTTATGGTGAGGTCGTGGATAAGGGTCGTCATAGTAGGCCCCCGCACCTCCATGCTGGGTTGATTGATGGTACCCATTGTTGTTCGAGTACAGGCTTCTTTGGCCCGGTGTAATTTGTCCAGGGTCATCCATTGATGAACCTAAACCGACATTAGACGAATATGGGTCATAGGCACCTAGAGGTCGAGAGGGGCCCATGGGGCCAGTTTCTCTAGGAGAAAAAGCATAGGGGTCATCTGAGCCCATTGTATGTCCGTGCCCACCACGTCTAGGCGGTCCATAGTAGTATAAGTTCTGTTCCATGCTATCCTGTCCGCCTGCCATGGTGTCGAGTCCACGCTGGTGTTCGTTTGGCGAATGTGTTCCTCCAACAGCGATACCCGCGATTCCGGCGCCGGATGCAGCGGCGCCCCAATCACCTCTTCCAGGAGTGGCTGTCGATGCTGTCCGCGAAGATTGGGTATAGCCCGGGTCCCGTGAATCCACCGCTTTTCTTTGGGGGTGAGGGTGCGGTATGGAATCGGGGACGGTATGGTAAACGGCGGAGGCGAAGGAAGATGGTGGGTGGGGATCTTGAGATCCCCCGATTCGCTGAGTTCGCAGCTTGCTATAGGCGCTATCTGGATGTGCAGCAGGATGTAAACGAGTGACTAAGAGAGGGGAATTGGGTGAATTAGAGGACGGAGAAGGATGTGGATGATCGCCGTAGAACGAAGGTTGAGAAGAAGCCTGCGGCGATATCTGGCTGCGAGCTATGGGCTCATGATGGGTGACATCGTCGCCAGCATCATTCTGGAAACGGTAAGCCATGTGGAGTAGAGTTCTGGTTCACGGAGGAGTCCCAGGTTTGAAATTCGATACGTTTGGGGCTGGTTTCCAGCGCCAAGCGAATCAACAGAGAGAGGTTTCAGATTTGCCGTGGTTAAGATTTTCGTGCCAACCAGGCCTCCGCCAGGTCCGCCGCCACACCAATCAAAAAAAGGTGATACCGAGCCAGGGCCGGTTTCAATTAGGGGACGATGACGAGGCAGAGCGTTGCTATGAGTGTTGCACGATGCAGTGGTGGGAGATAGGCGACGAAGCGACCGATTGTTACTATTGCTGCGGGGAGTGACAACACATAAGAGGCTGGCGGCGTGGTTGGAAGGGTTCAAGGCTGTGTTCTGACCCTCCTTAACGTTTTGCACTTCGAACTGCTCTTGCTGGGTGCCCAGAGTGTGGCAAAGGGGTTTACGCAGGACAGCAACCGGAATGATGGAGAGTTTAATTCTAAGATAGTCTGTGATTCTGTTCTAGCTTATAAAGCGGCAGGTGACCGAGCACGGCTGGTGAGATAAAAAGGGACGATAGGAAGAAACCCAATCTGTCCGGGGCTTACTAGAATAAATACGCTGGATCCGAGGACGCTGAGCCGCGACCAGGTGCTAAATTCCTGAGGCATCCAAGTGTCTTAGATCGGCGTTGTTGTGACCCTGCGGCCGTTCCAAGCGACAAGGGAGAGAGGAACTTAGGCTAACGAAGGATGGGACCAATTCAATTTGCCCAAGACCCCAACACAGGGCCCTCGAGGATGTAGCTGGATGGATAGCAGAGACTGGATATATGTCCAATGTCTGTCACATCAGTAAAAGTGCAGACGACCGGGAGTGGTTGTGGATTGCGAGGCACTATGTACCACAGTAACGAAATCAACTGCTATGGATGTAACAGTACACACACGGGCGGGAACAAGATGGGCTGGAACAGGAAGAGGAGAACGAACTATCTTTCGGATGCCACCAGGCCACCAGCGTTAATTGTTCAAATGGTCAAATTTCGTCAATTTGTCAATGGGGTCTCCTCGTCCAGTATATCTACTATGCGGTAGCGCTCGGATGATCTGTTTTGGGGATGGAATGATTGTTATAGATTTGATAATTATTGTTTACTTAGGCTGTTGGAGTTGCCCGTGGGCCGGCCAACCGGCTCTGGCCGCACAGTGGCAGGGGAGTACAGCCATGTCTGTATGCAGCACGGAGTATGCAGTATGCATGTACGGCCTACGTCGAACGTGGGTGCGAGGGCTGAGGAACAAAAGTTTAGGGGCATAATGGCTTGAAACAAGCAATAATCTGGGTTAAAAATAGCAGCAACCCTGCCAAAGCTCGAATTTCTGCCCAACGAGAATGCGGAATGCGTAGCTTAGTTAGAAGCAATGGCAGCAGATGAGGTGATCAGAGATGAGTTAACTATAAACTATAGAACTCTACTTCTTTCTCGTCGATACGCAAGTGCATTTATTATTTCTTATACCCATTTCTTCGTGATGGACACCTACGCTGTAAGTACGATGCTTGTGAGACCCATTACGACACAACAGGAAATTCATAATTCGAAATTGTTCGGCTTATTCTTTACCTTTTCCATTCTACTTGGCTGGGGCCGAAAGAATAACTATCGAACCAGGTTACCTCATGGGCTCAGCCCCCGAGCTAAAATGTATGGAACGAAAGTGGGACGCTGGACCCTATTAACCAGGTGCAATTCTCTATATTCCCCATAGAGAGGACCTTCACTATAACCGCAAACTGCATTATTTGCCAAATAGTAGCATCTGCAGCAAATCTAACTCAACTATAAGTTGTAACATACAGGTATCCGATATCATCTTCCTGTCTGCCCTGTTGAGGTTGTACTGGCTTTCTAATTCATAAAAATGGGCCACATTTGAATGTAGCAGATCATTTGAGAATCACAATCAATAGATAAAATAAATAGCTTTTTATATAAAGTGTTAGAAATGATTACGATATAAGTTGAAGTTGATGCAGCTGTAGTGGTGAGACCAGTTGATATATAGAGTTAAACAGTCTAAAGATGGTAATGTTGACACTCATGTTATTGAATTAGATATATTATCGAATTAAGAAACTGACAGCATTCCCCCCTCCAAAATATCATGACCGAATGATTCGTCCATCCCAGCTCATCAACCTCGTGCTCCTCTATCCCATCGAACGAGTCTGCGCTCTGGAACTCGCGGAAACCGCCGAAGATGAACTGCCACCACTCAATCAACTGCAGAAAAATATAGTGAGGAGAGGTATCACTGGTTTGCAACTTTGCCAAAACGACAACCCGTAATACAGAATAACAGTAGGGATGATTTATCAGCTGAAGGGCACCAGCAGGAGCAACTTAATGTGTCTCCGATTTTAACAGAGACAGATGCATCATGTGGAATATGAATACCGTATGTGTTGACTCACCGGAGTGTCAGTCAGTTCTCGCTACATAGGATCCGGAAATCCTAGCTAGCACCATCTTCCTGCCTGCCTTATCTCCGCCAGCCTTCCCCTTCTCATCTAGAATTAGTGATTGCCATTTTTTGAACCCTATACTACAAGTGTGCCTATGTTGGTCCCTAAAACTAAATAGCAAAAGCTAGGTATAATGTCATACAGCTTGGTTAGTAGCATGGCCGGTGTGCGTAATGATGAGCGAGACGCAAGCAATGACTTAAATTTCCAGAACAGAAAGAAGAGCCCGAAAACGTTCGAAAAGCTGGCCGGCACGGAGACACTCAACATAAAGGGCGATACGAGACATCAAACCTGCTGGAAGTCCTTGTAGGGCGTGAAATCGGCCCAAAAGCCGCTAACTAGAGGGCCGTTCTCAACTTGATAAATCTTGGATTTTGTCAAGCCAAGGCTGACGCGTGAATCCTGTTGGCTTGTGTTAGCTATGAAGACGATATTGCCGTATATAATGATGCCCGCGACTGAAGTTGGTAGTCAGTCCTGGTTGCTGACGCGGCAGCTAGAGAGGAAGCCATGGTGCATAGGTTGTAGATGGGAATTTGAGCAATGTGCAATCCGTGGCACTTCTGCCAAGATCGAAAAATGAGAAAATTCCAGGGAATCAGGTGTGGGAGGATTTGAGAGAAATTTTTGGATAATCTTGCCCCAGGCGATCCGGGGAACCTGTGAGGTTTGGAGCTTGGTAGAACTATTTTGAATCATTACTAGTAAAGGCCTTTTCAGCACCTAGAATCAATTGCGTTACGTCCCCACCTCGATCGTTTTCAGGAGCGTGGCGTCCGTAATTCAATCAATAGGATACTAGCAATTAAGGACTTGGAAGTCAACGATGGCACAAGCAACATAGGGCTACATCAATTAGGGTCCAATTACCACGTGATTGTCAAGCCCTAGGAAATGATGGAAGATTCGAAAATACTGATACGGCTTGGAGAATTTCTTCCACAGAGACGTAGCAGCGAATCAAACAGGTAGTTTAATACCCCTTGGTTTGCATCATGCATTGAAACTGCCCAAGGAAGTTTGGGAAACGACAAGCATGCTGGAATATATTCAGGAGTCAACATGTGGCTGCATCTGTAATTTGGTTATTGCCTCCTATTATGACCTCTTTAAAATAACGTAAGTAAATTATGAGGTTTCGCTAGTTACTTTCTACCATGAACTAATTAATAATATAGCTAAATTTCGTCTACTTCGTGGTCCTTAAGTGAACTGATCGGAAAGATCCGATTCAACTACTGTACTTTCGGCTCTATATATTCGTAACATAAGAAACTCCCGTGAATGTTCATGACATCCGCAATGATCTTATTTTCCATAATTCCAAACATGAATAGAACGTGATTTAGCGTGGTGGTATCTCCTGGGTCACCAGGCATTGCTCCAGGTTGCCTATCACCGCCAATTTTTTTTTTTTTTACAGTCAGTTTTCCCATAATCTCATTCAACAAAATGGAAGGAAGCACTTACGGATACTCCGGTGGAGGGGGCCGGAATCCAGAATCCTTACGCATCAGATTAGTGCCACCCATCTCAGACAATCTTGCCGGAAGGTCTTTGGACTGCCAATCCCACCACAGTTTGTCGATCCAGGCATGATGAAGGTAGAAGAGCGGATCACCCGGGCTGGATCCACCTCTGGCCATCTGATGACATTTTTTTGTCCTATTAGATTTATCTCGCACATGATTTTCCAAATTGGGGTATTAAAACCCACCTGGCCCCCAACACCATTGTGGCCTCCAGCATGAGGGTTCCCTTCGATGCACTGCCATGTCGAAATCCAGTCAGGTTGAGAGATACAGTAATCTACCTGATTCCGGGACGTGAATGAGCTGACGTCGTCGTCGAATTTTCGGTCAATGCACTGAACTGTAAGTTCATAGCCGGGTCCAAACGGACTTGTATAGTTTGCGAATGGGCCGTCTGTGATACACCCCCCTTCCTCGTCGGACCCATTGCCACCAAAACCATAGATGGGATCAAAAACATCGGATGAGGAAAACCTCCCTGCATCCTTTTGTTCATACCAAAAACTAGAAGTTCATGTTGCGGGGATGTGTTAGAGGTGAGAGAATAGGGAATTATTAGACCAAAGCCCTTATGGGCATGTTTTCGGATGGACACGCACAAATGGATCAGAACTCACGGTTGATAGCCTTTATAACCACATTCTTCTCGAAGCGCAGTCTCATGAGCATATGTCATCAAACGATGGAACGGAAGAAATGCGCCCTAAGCGATATATCAAGAATTAGCCATCGGCTTCGAACGACAGTTGTATCAGCGCTTGGTGGCGTAGGTGTGACATACGACAAAATGTGTCATATATGCCCCATGCACATGGAGAGCTTGAAAATCATCAAACCGTGTTATTACGCCTTCCATGCTAGTCTTCGCCGGTAATTTCATCAAACATAGTTCGGCATTGATATATGCTAGTTTGTCATCGTTGCTCAAAGTGTGCCTGAAGTTTTATTAGCAATTAGTTCCCATAGATATAAAAAAAAAACGAAAAAAAGGCGTAGAGTACGCTGTTCGTCCAGTTAAAGGAGAAGAATTTGCGTACCATGCTTTGCGTTGGGCGGGCGTAGAACATTGCGCAGAAACAACTGAGCATACCAGAGGGAAGAAGAGAATGGCTCTGAAGAGCCAAACCATACTGAGCCTTATGCGATTGGCTTTGAGTTTGAAGTTATCTTGTCATTGGAGGCGTAGATAATAGGGGGGGAATATAAAGAATAAAATAAGAATAGAAAAAAACTGTAGAAACTAGATAACGGACCGAACGACTTGATATTTATTGTGATGTAAAGCATCCGGAGAAGCTACCTCCGTCCACCCACTGCTGCTAGCAAATGCTATGCAACCCAACATTTTCACACAAGCCAACATAACAATTGGTCCGGGAGACCACATATTTGATGTGTAGCATGCAACTACCAAGGAGTCGGTAATTGTTAGCAAACAGAGCATAGGTCGTAGGAAAACTACTGGACACTGCTCAAGAACCGCACGTAGCAGTAGGGCCTTTTGGCGCGCTGAAATCAATTTGGTTGCTGATCCACGCCTGTCTCTTGACAACTTGAAACCGTTGATGGGATCGACATTGTTTCATGATATTTATATTTTGGTTGATGTTCATTGAAACCAAAGACTTGTTAATATCAACTGCACTCGCCAAAATGTCAATGCCAGCAATGAATAGTAATTCCCAGCTAGAATCCCTAAGCAGAGATTTGTCTTGCTGTTGCAGTCCAATCTGTGAGGTGGACTGTAGACAGACATTGCTTGGAAGAGATACACTTCAAATCTTCATCAGCCTTGTTTTCCACGAATCTTCGTTTCCTGCAGGGGGTAGTAAAAAAAGCTTATTTCGATTCTCTGCAAAGCTAAGGAGGACTTCCTGGATAAGTAATTATATGTGTTGGGGGTTGCGTTGTGTTGGCTGATGAACTAACCTTTGCTCCTGCACATTCTTGAAAACAGCTCTTTATTTGTTTTTGTCCTTTTTTTCTTTTCTTTTTTTCTCTGAATCTTCATCACACAATTAGCCGCCCAGTGCTAGTATTGTCAAGAAGGAAATTCCGAAAATCTCACCTCTCACGACAGCATACAGCTGTAGCCACCCTTCATCCATACATCTTATTACCCGGACGTATTCAACGACTTGAATGGATGAGTATCTGCCAATCTCCCACGGCGATTGTCCTGTACTTCGTGCGATGAGAAAAGGTCAACAACCAGCTGACCAATCCAGATATATCAATGTGGATTAATCCAGCATGTATGTACGAGGCATGCACCTGTGCATGTACCAGTCTGCCTGAGTCTATCGGTATTTTCGTGTAGTTACCTACATGCATACATTGCTTCGCTTAACCAATTCCCTTCAAATGGATCACTTGACGGGTCATATGTCGACGCCAGGAATGCATGTAGTTGAGCCAGTATCAGAAGGGCTCATGGACGAGAGCGTTGGGTTGACATCTCCATATGAAGAAAAGCTATGTAGGACCGCCAGAAATATCCATCAAATCTAGAAGAATAAGGGTGCTGTGGTATGATCTGTGCCAGTAAAGCGGTGTATACATACCTAGATACGGGTGTGCTGTGCTCTTTGGGGGTATTTAAATGGAATGCATATCCATGCCCACATCCAGATCCCAGATCCTTGACAAGAATTTTATCCCTGTTGCTATGAGCTGCCACGATTCTTCGCTCTTGGCTGCGTTCTAGCTCAAACAGGCGCGAATCCCATGCTGTCATGCTCATGTTCAGCCCCAACTCAACCGCTGCGGCTTCCAGACAATCAAGACGCTGTGCTTTCCTGCCATTTTGAAGGGAGGGTGCCTTGTTCTTGGGGTTCGTCGTTTCTCCTTTACAATTTCTTTCCCTTGCGCTTCCTTGCCGAGAAGGGAATATGTAACTAACTCACTCTGTAGTTTTCTGAACTTCGCCTTGCAAGCCAAGCAAATCCAAGCAATTGTTTTGCCAATGCTCTCGTGTAGAGTGAGGAGATTACGGATGAAACCCCCCGCAGTTTCGACTACTAAATCGGATGTCCAATGCCATCATCACATTCGTCTGCCGAGTGCTGAATCGGACATGGATCAAATCTTTCAAAGTCCGAAAGCAAATGAGATTATTGATTGGAGATTTGGCCCCCCACAGAACCTTCGTCATTCCGAGCTTTCACGACTCATTGGAATATCTCAGCTGATCTCCATTAGCCTCATGAGATGACCGGCCAGGAATCTCATATAGATCCAGGGGTGCCCACTCGAGATTGCCACTAGATTTCCTTCGGAGGCAGTTTACCTTCGACCTCCCGCGGAAGATTTCGCCATGCAGATCTTTTTCCTCGCACTTGTGCTTGTTCTTCTAGCCACCAGCAGCTTTTCTCATCCTGGCGAATCCCTCGAGCCAGATGTTCACCGGCGTCTACATCATCTTGAACATCCTGCAAGACGAGGTGTTTTCGAATGCACGAACGAGCTCGAGAAGCGTGGTTGGATCAGCCACCAAGCCGACAGAAGGCATGCCCGCTTGAATGAGCTTCGAGAACAGGTTGGATATAGCCCTCTCGCTCGCCGCGATCGCAGTCTTGATGCAGAGATTTTTGGCCGTCAGGCTGGCTGTGTTCTGGATCCCGAAGTCACTGAGGGGCCTTATTGTGAGAGTTCATTTTATTTTGTTTCTCCAGCTTCTCTTTTGGCGGATAGTGAAGGTTACTGAGTATCAATAGGGGTTGGGGGCGAACTTATCCGTGAAGATATCCGTTCAGGACGAGGTGGTAAAGTGGAGCCTGGCATTGTCCTCTACCTTGATATCAACGTTATAGATGTGTCGAACTGCCAACCCGTCCCAGATGCATTTGTGGAGTTATGGGGCTGCAATTCCACTGTGAGAACCGCCGCAACTAAACATGAGACCTTTTCTTCCTGCACTAAATATATAACTCTTCTTTACGCATCTTAGGGCGTCTACACTGGTGTCGTGGCTCCTGGAAATGGTGACGGCAATCCCTCCGAGATTTATAACAATGCCCTGCGGGGGATCCAGCCAACCGCTAAGAACGGCACGGCCTCGTTTATCTCTCTTGTCCCGGGTCACTACACCGGACGTGCCAATCATCTACACAGTAAGTTTGACCCCCTTTCCCTCAAGAATCTAAATCTCCTTGAAACGCAACAAAGTTAACCAACTAAAACCTCATTTTAGTAATTATTCACCACGGAGCCACGCGACTCAAAAACGATACTATCAGCGGTGGCACCATTTCTCACGTTGGCCAGTTGTACTTCGACCAATCAGTCCTTAAAACTGTAGAGGACACAGCTCCGTACACGGCGAACAGGCAACGATGGACACAAAATGACAGAGATGGTCTTTTCAGGCTGGGGTTTCGGGGAGGCGATAACCCAATAATAGAGTCCCAGATGGTTGGCAGGTCCATTAAAGACGGACTCTGGGGAACCATCGACGTTGGCGTCAATCCTCTCGCCGTGCGGAACCCCAGAAATGTAAGCCTCTTCCCCGCTGATAGTGAGGTGCGCACCTCCGGCTCCATGTGGGGTACACACCCTACGAGTAGCGCCGCACCACCTAGACCTTCCTCCGGAGGTGGTCCCGGCAAAACTCTCAGAGGGGGAGGACTAATTGGTGGGGCGGTGCGAAGTATGAGATCGATTTTCCAGCATTTGCAGAACTGAGATGCGGATATAGGGTGGCAATAAAAGCTTTGGGTATGATGAACAGTTATGTATTGCTCTCAGCACTAGGATTTGTCCAGCGTGTGAGTAATTATCATAATTTTTCTTTTCTTTTCTTTTCTTCTTCTTCTTCTTCTCCTTCTTTTATCATTTTTTGTTTTGTCCTTATACTGCGAGCTGGAGTGTTTTGTATTAGAGTTCCGCCTAGCAACAAAGTCACGTTCAGGAAAGTTGCTGTCACTGATCAAATGTTTTCTTCTTTTCTTCCTTTTTTCTTTTTTTTTTTGCTCCCCTGCCTGAACACTCTCAACGGACTCTAAGGGGAGAATGGGAAGGTACAAACTCCATTGTCGCCACTTCACTAGCAACAGCGAAGTGAGGAAGGCCAGCATTGGGATTGGGAATCTTTGCCACAACCTGCATATAATGATATTATCCAGAGTAAGCAGAAAAGCTTTATTGTGCATGCCATCAGGCTACTTCTCGATGTTGATGCAGGATTTGGCCTCGACTGCAGCCGCCCGGACAGGACACGACACGACATAACTCCTCGACGTCAAAGCAGACATATCGCTAGCCCAGTTCATGGACTTCGTTTTCGAATAAATCGGCCACGGGTATACCGAAAAAGAGATCATGGAACTCGGAACTCGGAACTCAGTGACAGCTGAGATCCTTGCTTTTTTATTATTTTATTATTTTTTTTGGCGGTGGCAAACTCGCCACCAGTCTATGTAGAGCAGCGTGCTTGTGAAATAGTAGGAACTGCTGACATGATGGAGGAGGGAAATGGGATCCGGGAAATTGAGACGCGAGATGCAATGACAACGCGAAACGCCTCAAGGGTCTCCTTGCAGAGGCGGATCAGGATCATTTTCACCACATAGAGGCAACTGATATCCTCGACTTGGTTGATTTCGCAAAGTTGCATTGTGCCTACAGACAGATCTTGGAAACTACAGTGGAAGCACAAGTTGCCAAATGTTGCAGCAATATTTGCAATCAGCATGCGAAATGGGAGCATTCCCACATAGTTATTTTATGCACCCTCTCCTAGTGTCTCTTGAGTGATGGTTATTTATACTCGTTTTCTATGCGACTTGTGGAGTGAGATAGACGGCAAGCCGGAGGAGGCCCTTTAACACCACAAACTTGGCCACTTTGTACTCAGGTATGCCTTCCCATATTAACGAAGTGCGGTGGTGCCAAAAAAAAAAAAAGAAAAAGAAAAAGAAACCCCCCAGGGAAATCGATATGCATAAGTAACAAGGGCCGTATCGAGAGGGGTTGTATCAGGTAATGTTCAACCTGGTTTCTCATTCTCAAGATCCAGTTCCGAGTATCATTCCCAATCTCTTACGAATCGGTAAAAGAAAGGAAAATGAAAGTGAAAGTATAATGAAGTATGGAATGCAGGCAATAGTATCAAGAATATCAAGATAATGTAACAGACACCGCACAAGGCACATGGGAGAAGATGTTCACAACTAAAACATGGTAGAATGATATCAAGCGGAGAGAATCCAAATAAAGATATCTGCAGAAAACCAGAAAATAATGATAAGAAGGGAAATAGAATCGAATCATAAATAAACATGCAAGCAAGGATACATTTTGAAAATCAAAACAGAAGATATTGAAGAAAAGAAGTTAAAAATGCCCATTTTCTCCTGGCCCTTTTCCCTTTCCTTTCCATATAGATATATATCCCATTTCCCAGCTGCGGGGGAAAAAATAAAGAAGAATAGAACGGAAGAATATGATAACAAATGAACAAGAGCAAGAAATAGAAGAATTAAAATGAAGAAGACCAAGAACATGAACATGAAAAAGGGGCAACTAATCAAAATCAAATATAACCTCCAATTTTCCCTTTCCTTTTCCTTTTCCCTTTTCCGTTCTTCCTCTGCACTTTTTACCAATATTGGCAGGTAAAAAGGCCAATAATAGAAGAACAACATAATATATATCCCATAAGAGTTTCCTACCATTGATGATATCTTCTCGTTTCGAAAAGAAAGTTCCCATATTCCCGTTTTTGCTTTTTGAATAACCCTTTTTTAACCAGTTTCCTCCTCCCGCCGTATATATAGGTAACTATAACAATGTTTGTTCTAGAAGAAAAAGAACAAAAAGAAAAAGAAAATATATGTATATACCAATAATAGCAGAATAGTTCGAGTACACAAATTTCGACAGGTGTGGGAGATGGGTATAGATAGATAGGTATGTCCGGAATGTTTATAATTGCTCCGTCGATTTATCGATTTGTGAGTGCCTGTATTGACTTTCGTGGTTCCCAGGTACCGATAAAGTTGGATCCACAGGTCCGCTGGCGGGAACCAAGAGTTAAAATTTCGAGTTCCTGGTTCCTGGGTTTTTTCGATAAGTTAAATCTAACTCTCTACCTCCTCCGCGTTTCGTGCGGAAGACGATGTAGCAACAGCTGGGGTGCCAGGCACACTGGCAGTCCGAGACCTTTTGGTACGCTCTAGCCACTTGCGCTTTCCAACACGGGTCTCTAAATGCGGTGCGACAGAAGTGAGTCCTTGGCCGGCAGTGATCATCGTGCTGCGCATTTTGTTGCGGTATGCATCCACTAAAAGTAACAGACGCAATTAGTCAAGAGAGTTCCTGACAACCGTAAGAAAAGGAGGGGTTGGGAAAATGCGAAAGTGAAAAGGCTACATACAAGCTCTCTGCAAGAAGAGAGTCCTTCCTGCGAAGACTCTGCTCTGTCCCCAGCTCATGCGATATCCCAAATCGTTCAGCATAACTTCCTTATCGCGCTTGCCTCTTCCGATCCTAGGGACTGCCAGATTCGCCTCTCCATCAAGAGTGGGCACGGGAACCAGAGTTCGACCAACGGTTGCTTCCTCATCGTCGTGGCTGTCTTCGCGATTACTTCCGGCATCATCAACGAACCTATCACCACGGTTACCGCGCCCAAACGGACTCTGTACGGGGAAATACGTCCGCGGGAACACAGAATTCGACTTGCGGTAAGAGTCCGGGATTTCCTTCATGTCTACCTGGTCCAGCATCACTTTAACTCGAACTCTGCAACCACGCTGCGGATCCTCAACGAGGATAAATTTCCTCCGGCGTCCCTCAGGAAGGTCGCCGAAAAGAGCCGCTTTATCAAGATTGCGATCGTCACTTCCGGAGCGGGAGTGGGAGGTTGCAACAGTAGAATGGCGACCTAAGTGGTCTAGGCCTGCGTCGCGTAGAGGAGGCGGCATGGAGGGGCCTGTTTGGGAATTGGAAGAAGCAGTATTTGGATATGTTGGGTAGCCATGGAACATATGGCTAGGACGAATGTCTGCCAGGGCTGGCGCAGGTTGGGTGTAGGTGTTTGGCGGGGCAAGTGGGCGATGAGTGCCGTTCGAGTATTCAGCGTTGCCTATACACGAATAATATCAAAGGAACGGCGTAATATTAGCCTACGCTGTCTGGCATCATCTGGCAATGTTTACCATGACGGCAATGAGGATAATCGAGACATAAAAGAGCACACCATGCTAGGAATGAAAGGTGCTAACCCCCATGGTTGACGAATAAGAGTGATAGAGAGCAAAAGAAAAAAAGAAAAAAAGGAAGATCAGGATAAATAAGTACACATCAATACTGCATGCTTCCAAAATACTTTCGAAGATCTACACGAAGGTCATCAAAATCCTCCATCCGCCATAACAAGAAGGAAAAAGTGGAATATATAAATGGTTGCATCCCAGGAAAAAAAAAAAAAAAAAACAGCTTTCCAATAAAATAGAGAAAAGATATCACATTTGGTGAAACATACCGCTAACGTCCTCTCCACTCTGTGCTGTACCTGATTCAGATGGGTGTGCATGATGATGATGAAGCTGTGGACCTCCCATACTTAAACTTCCAGTGGGGGCTAACCCAGTACTACCAGGAACTCCTGCAGAAGGGGGTCCCGTCAGGTGATTGGCATGTTGTGCGGAAACGGCTTTTCTGTTGTTAAGCTTGGCCATTCTCCTTACTCTGCGGCTGCGCAGCCGTGGGTCTTGGTTGCTGTTGCGCCAACTATCAACCGCTCTTTGGATAAGGCCGCGCTTGCCGCGTAAACAAGTGTTAAGTTCAGCCAATGCCCACCCGACAGCGTTGCATTCGGTTTCGTACACCAGACGATTCCCTCTGTACTGATCCTTTGAGCAGCATGCTCGTGGATACACGCAGTTTTCGGTCTTGAATTCTTGGCTCAAGTTTTCAATGTTGATATTTTCTACGTCGCATCGAATCGTGTATTCCATTTTAACGCGATCCCGCGAATATTCAAAAGCAATCCACTGAACTCCGTTCTTATCTTGTCTAACGACAAGCGGGGTGGTCGCGGGAATTGGGCCGGGAGCAGCACTTGTGTTATTTCCACCCGACCCTGAATGAGTGGCACCGATTGATACGGGAGGCGGTTGGTGTGATTGGTTTAGTGGTGTTCTTTGTGGAGGAGTAGGTTGTTGAGGAGTTGGATCAAATTTCATCCGTGGGCTGCTTGTGACCGCGCCAGGATGTTGTTGTGCTTGTTGGTGTTGATGTTGCAGTTGGCCAGGGGTACCTTGATGGCCCACAAGGAGGGGCTGAGATGTGAGATGGGCATGTTGTTGGCTAGGATGAGGCGCATACGGGGCTGTGTGGACTGGGTTCATGGGAGGAAATTGCGGATAGCCGTACATGCCCGATGCCATTTGGGGCGGTTGGCCGTAGAGGTTTCTTCCATGGGGGTCATGGCTTTGCGGCGACGCGACAGAAGCTGGAGAATTGGACTGCGGTGTGTGGTAGATGGATGGGTAAGGTCGCTGCATTTGTGCGGTTGCTGCCATAAGATCTGGGGCTTCTATTCAACATTAGCACCTTGGTGACAAGTGTTGCTTTGCCTCAAGTTCCACTTAAAAATCAAAACCATATCCATTTCCATTTACAAAATTAACCAAAAATACCAAGTGAAACTGCACTGCATGGAGAGGAGATGACTTTGGCGTCCTCATGCCTCCTCTCAATCTCCTTGAGCCGCTCTTCCCCACTCAGAAAGTAACAAGGAAATCAGTCAAATGCATACCGCTTGTGGGATAATGGCCTGAGCTACTTGTTGCAGTGTAAGTCGCCGGGTGAGAAGAATAGTAAGTGGGTTCTTGAGGAGCACCGTATGGAGATTGACGCTGCAGATGGATACCGTTCCCTATGACGTGCGGTGAAGCGTATGGAGACTGTGGAATGGATGTCTCAGACTGATGTGGAGACTTTGGAGGCTGCTTCTGGTGAAGCAGAATGCTTGTAGATCTAGGATGCTGGAGTTGGAGAGGCTGGTGGGCACTGTGCGAGTGTTGGGGTTGTCGCTGGTGTACAGGGGGTTTTCAGTCAGCTATCGCAGATCTTGAGAATAAGTTTTCTGAAGGCGCAAAACACCCAGGTCAAATTGGCAAGACTCGCGTTCGCACGCCAATTTCCCAAACAAACAACAAGATTGGATAGCAAGAAACATATATATGCACCATCAAGGGGAAAGTAAAAATTCTGGAATATAGAATATCCAAACGTGACATGTACTTTCAGGACAAGGAAGAGATGTAAGCAAAAAGCGTCACTGCAAGGGGAGCG